ATGTCACTTTGAAGACTAAAGTGCACCTGACAAAAACCACGGTGTTTTCAATCACCTCGTATGCATGTGAAAGCTGGACAATGAATAAGGAAGACTGAAGAAGAGATGATGCCTTTGAATTGTGGTGTGGGTGAAGAATATGTAAAATACCCTGGACTGCCAGAAGAACAAACAAATCTGGAAGAAGTGCAGCCAGAATGCTCCTTAGAAGTGAGAATTATCAGACCTCATCTCACCTACTTTGGTCATATTGTCAGAATGGATAATTCCCTGGAGAAGGATACCATGCTTGGTATAGCAGAGGGTCAGCAAAAAAGGGGAAAACCCTCAATGAGATGGGTTGGCACAGTGGCTGCAACAATGGGCTCAAGCATAGCAAGGTTTGGAATGATGGTGCTGGACTGGGCAGTGTTTCATTCCATTGTACATAGGGTCACTATGAGTTGGAACCAACTTGACAGAATCTAACAACAACAACATGTAACCTCACATAGGAAAATCTCCCGGAGAAATTATTTAGGGAAAAGTAAATTGCAGGAAAATATGTACACTGTGATTCCATTTACATAAAAACTAATAATAAATGATATCCTGTATTTGTACACACACATAGGATATTGGACATATTACACCAAACCAAACCAAACTCACTGCCATTGAGTTTATTCTGACTCATAGCGACCCCCATTGGATTTTCAAGGTGGTAAATCTTTACAGAAGTAGATCACCCAGTCTTCCTTTTATAGCATGGCTGGTGGGTTTGAACCACCGACCTTCTGGTTAGCAGTCAAATGCCTTAGGCACTACGCCACCAGAGTATGACATAACATATTATATATGTTAATATATAACATATTATAATAACATAAAAACATAAATATATAGTAAAATAATATGAGAAGATAAACATCAAATGTTAATAATAGATATTTCTTGAGAGAGCAATGTGATTAGATGTGGAAGAAAACTTGTGTGTTTTCTCACCAACTTCCATATACTCACTCAGAAGCAAAGTATTTTCACTTTGTTTAAACTACACAAGTAAATGGATTAATGCACAGCCATAAAAATTACAAGTATGGGGAACGATGTGGAGCAAAAAGTAAATACTCCTCTTGCTTGCTTACTTCCTGGCTCGGAAACCCAAGGAGGAGTCGCTATGAGTCGGATGCAACCCGACAGCAGTGAGTTCATTTTTTTTTTTTTTTGTTTTTGGTTTTAGTGGCATAGTGCCTAAGGCATTTGACAGCTAACCAGAAGGTTGGAGATATGAAAAAGAAGGAAGAAAATCAGGTAAGATATCACCAACACAAAAGTCTGATATTGTGTTTCCTTTGGCAAATTTGAGTCTGCAATAAAGAAGCCTAGTTATGGGGAAAATCAGAATTTCAAAAGATAAGGATTAAGTTAGAAACACTAATCTCATTCTGGTGCAAAAATCAGGATTAGTAACCTGGGAGAGAAGAGAAGAAGCAATAAAGAAGCCAATTCAAACTCACCTGTTGGAAGGTTAACCTCCAGCAGAGAGATTTCCCCTAAACTTTGAAAATCATTTTACTTCCCATGGTGCTTTCTCTTCCAAATGCCCTCGTCACTGGTTTTCAGAAGCACTTTGCCACCAGTGACTACCATTTTATGAGAAATGGTATAGGAGTCCAAAGCAAAGTGCAATTGGACTATTATTCAGTATGATACCATATTCTACAGGCATACATTTATTGTTCAATCATCACTGAAAAGTAGCAAGATAGCAGTTTTTCAAAGAATAACTGAACTAGCAGATAATTTTTAGAGGAAATTATGTAGATCTAAATTGCTTTGGTCTGCAAATCCCATATCTTAGCAACTCATTGACCAAAACGTGGTTCAATCAAAGGCTCTTTAAAAAACTGCTGCTTTCATTCATTTTTCCTGTTCCCTGACTGAGCCCCAGCCCTATAAAGTATCCAAAAGAATTTTATGGCAATAAAGCAAAGGCTTAACCTGGTAGTAGAAAGCTCTGTTGTTTTTTGTGAAGACATAAAGACTGAGATTATCAGGCATTTATCTAAGTGAAATAGATTTAGACTAACATGAAAGACAGTATGACAAGCTTTATTATACTATAAGGGTTTAGAATTCAAAGCAAAAATAGTGTGATAAAACTGGTTTTGGAAGAGGCCAGGTAGTCTGAACATTGAGGAGAGCTGTATGCAATCAATTCTGACTCTAAGGACATTTTTTTTTCTCACTTGCTTTTAAAGTTATAAAACCTTTCAGGGTAACTCTTATAAATATTTGATATTCGTTTCATATTTACGTTTGATAGAGATTCACTCATTTAATGAAAATTTATTAAGGATCTACTGTGCGTATGGCAGAGATGCTGGGGTGGCACAGTTTGTGCTTGACTACTAACCAAAAGGTTGGCGATTTGAACCCACCCAGCATCACCACAAGTAAAGGCCTGGCGATCTGCTTCCTTAAAGATGACAGCCCAGGAATGCTCTGGAGGAGTCCTACTCTGTAGAGCGTAGGGTTAGTCTGAATAGGAATTGAATGGATGGCAATGGCTTGGGTTTGCTTTAGGGCTGTGGTATGATCCAAGAGAGACATCTCATGAATCTCACGAATCCTATCATTTCGTTGATTGTTATACATTTCATATATTATATTCAGTATGTATATGATGTTCATTAAAATGTGCTAGGTGCTGGAGACACTAAGATGAACGCAACAAATAAGCCTTGCCTTTAAGCATTCAAAATCTAGTAAAGAATAAAATGTACAGCCTTCCAGCATTCAAGTGAGACTGAGATAAATTCAATAATGGAAGTTATGGAACAGTGTGCTAAAAGATGTTAAAAAATGGAAAACCTAAATCAAACTAGGGCATCATAAAAGCTTTCACTCTGATTTTCTTTGCTACTTCAGCTATTTGTAAAACTGTCTTTCTATGAACTAAATTTTGGAGCAGTGTGCATTCATTTCAAGCTCTCAACAAATAATCATTGAACAAACACTACAAGGTGCCACATATTGTGATTATAGCAATAATGCAAGCTGAGAATATAAAGCAACAATTATAATACAAAATGATACATACTCTAATGAGGGACATACATAGTGCAACAGGTGTGCAGGGAAAGTAATACCTAGGTCTGCACGAAAAAGTCCAAAAAAAGGCTGAGACCAGGTGGACAAATATGCATTTGTCAGTTGATCATGGAGGAGACAGAATTGAAGACAAAAGGAAGAGCATGTTGCAAAGCCCTGAAATAGATGCCCTGAAACAGCCTGATGGGAACAGCCCATAGTTTGGTATGGCTGAAGCAAGAAGTGAATAGGGGAGAAAAGCAGCAAGTAAAGCAGGACTGGTAGACAGCATTTTAAAGCTAGTACTTTAGCCTAAAGCACTTGACTGCTCACCAGAAGCCTCTCGGTTCAAACCCACCAGCCAGTACTCAGAAGGAAGGTTGGGCAATCTCCTACTTCCATAGTGATACTGCCTCGGAAACCCAAGGAGGGGTCGCTATGAGTCAGGTCCGACTCAAAGGCACATAACAACAACATTTTAGCATAAGGGCAGAAATGGGGTATTGAAGAATTTTTCCAACAAATGACTTTATTAACAGAACGGAGGGCACATTGGAGTCAAGCCAGTCAGAAGGAAGGAAGACATGTAAGGGAAGCTTTGCAGTATTTGAGAGTGGGGAAGATTTTGAATTAGGGCAGTGGCAGCTGAGATGGAGGGGTGAGGCTGATAAGCATAATTTGATGGTAGAATCAACATGAATTGGCAGTTAACTGGTGAAATTTAAGGGAAAGGTAGGAGGTTTAGATGATACGTAATATAGTAACAATCAAAATTTATGGATGGGGTGAGGCCAAAGAGTTGAAGTCAGGCATTATATAAGATGCTATTTAAGTATCATCTCATTAACTCTGATAACAGTGCTCAAAACAGTCCTGTTACTCTATAAAATGGAAATAACCATTTTATAGAGGAGATAACAAGATTCTTAGAGATTAAGAAATGTGTGTAAATTAACAGAATCAGGCAGTAAACTGGTCAGGATGTAGCCTGGACTGTCAGGCTCCAGTGTCATGCCCTTTTCACCATTATCAATATCATCAAATAGAAATGGCTGATATTCTTCATTTATATGTTCTTAAATTCTCAATATTCTTCAGATTAGCTCTGATTTCTAATTAACTGGGTCTTTTCAATATTAGGGAGCTCTGGTGGTGTAGTGCCTAAGGCAGTTGACTGCTAACCAGAAGGCTGGTGGTTCAAACCCACCAGTCACTCCTCGGAAGGAAAGTTGGGCAATCTACTTCCATAGTGATACCACGGTGGTGTAATAGATAAGGTATTTGGCAGCTAACCAGAAGGTCAGTGATTCAAACCCACCAGCAGCTCTGCAGAAGGAAGATGGGGGAGTCTACTTCTATAAATATTTACAGCCTTGAAAACCCAATAAAGGTCACTATGGGTCAGATTCAACTCAGTGGCAATGAGCTTGGTTGTTTTGTTTTTTCAATATCAAAGCAACTGCCATTAACAGACTGTGCCTATTAAATATCTTACCAAACCAATATTTCCTCATTCCTATCTCTTTTGTTGTTATTGTTGTTGTTGTTTTGTTTTGTTTAAATTTTTATTGTGATTTGGGTAAAAGTTTGCAGAGCATGTTTTTTTTTTTTTTCCTATTGAGTTAATGAAAACTTTAGAAGCTAACAAAGTGTGACATCTAGAAAGCACAATAATAAAAAATTCAAGAATAACTGGATTGAAAAAACCTGTTTTAATGAAACAGTTTCTCCCTTTGTCCAGGACTATTGTTAAGTATCCATCAATCTACACCTTTCTCAAATATGTATTTCCAGAGACATAGTAGTTACCCAGTATATTTTTTTAAAATATACACCACCTCTCAGAGAAATTCTGGACCAAATGTAGTTCTGAGGAGGATCTAGGGAGGCAGAACTAAATAAATTAAAGGCACAATGTTACTTACTTTATCTTTGGAGAAGCTGAAAAGCTGTTTTCTTTCAACAAAGAATTGGACAGCTATTACACTGGCAGAATGACCCCAAAGAACACCAACCGGCTTAGAGACAACGTAGGGATTCCAAAGGTAAACTTTATTGCTAATGCCAGCAGTTGCTAATCAGAATTAGAAAGAAAAAAAAAAAAAAAAAGATTTTCATAACACGAATAACAAGTTACATTTTATTTTTAAAATTAATAATCTAACCTTAGATTGATAAATGCCTTCTGGTGAACATTAATATACCCTGTCTTGAAGGAAGAAAAGTCTTTTGTCATTGTCCAACCATCTCAGGCTGATAGGGATGAGTAGGTCAATGGAAATGGTTACAATGGAGGGAGCGGGAAGGATGGGGTATGCATGAGGTGAAAGGAAAACTAGTCATGTTCAGAAGCCCATCAGCAACTTAACTAGATAAGGACAGAATCCTTCTTCTTAGTTCCTTAGTTTCCCGTCTCTAACCTGAACAGCTAGGAATGTGGACAGCATGATAATCAAGTATTCACAAGAAAGCAAGCAACAAAAGTATACTTTGAAAAGCTTTATTGAATGAATGAGGTATTTTGAGACAGGGATTGGTTATACTGACACAGTACTTCAAGAGCAGAGAGTGTATATATAGTTAGTTCTTTTTCAGATCTGTGGAAATTCTGTTTGTTGTTCCCTATTTGGAGGCAGACTGTAGAGCTGAGCTTATTCATTCTTATTTCCCAGCACTATAAGAGGCACAATATACTTCTCAGTATATAGGGATTGAAAGAATCAATCAATCAATCAATCAAGTATTTGAATATCTGGGTCCTTGCCAAGTCAATTCACCAACCCTCCAGCTTTCTCTAATAAATCTACAATACTCCCTGAAAATTTGATGTTGACATATTTTACCATAATCATCAGCTATTATTGTTAGGAATTTTAGGGACTCAGTCCCCTAGTTGATATCAATACAGTATACATGAATGACAATTATTGAACAAGGGTGAGTATGAGTCATTCTGTAGGCCATGTATGTTCTCTATAATCACCCTATTAAATTTTCAGTAATATGGCTACACCTCAATTTTTCAAAATGTAGGAAATAATATTGTATATACCAATTTACAGTTTTCTAAATTTCTAAATATTTATTTAAATCGTTAACGCTAACAAACATTTATATTCCTTTGATTAAAATAGACCCTTTTACATCAAAAGAACTCATCTTTAGTAAACTAAAGCTAGGATAACCTGAAATGTTTCAAAAACCACTATGTTCTGAACCATGAGTGAAAACATTCTATGTTTTTTAGTTCTCTATTGTTTATGTGTTTGTGTTTGAATGAGTATATGTGTGCTAACAATAAAAATGATCTATTTGTTTGGGTTGAGCATTTGATGGTGTTAGGAAGATGGCAGATGCTGCATGTGTCGTCCTTCTCTGTATCATTTTATAACCTCCACCAATTCTAATAAAAAGACTCCATAAGCATTTGGGGCACTTTCTCATATTTTTACCCCAAAGTAGTTCATATACACCACACATTGTAATGCATCATTATCAGACGTTCTCAGGCAATAAAATGTGAGCTGCTCAAGTTATTCTCTCTGGCAATAAAGCAACAAGGTGGAGAGGTTGCATGCATATAAATATGCATCCCAGACAATTTATGAGGCCCTCATAGTTATCATGATTTATTTTACATACCAATTAAATTGAGCCGAGAGTGGTAATCAAAAGCATGAATGCCCTGGGCAATGTTGAAGGATGTCATTTTAAGATGGTTTTTTGATTTCTCTCTCCAACCCAGCACCATAGTACTTGTACTGCTGGTAGTACTAGAAATGATAGCATCTAAAGATGCATTGTAAGCAACTGGTAAAAAATTAAAAAGAGGAAAATAAATGTTAGTTGATTTCTCACAAGATATTAGCAAAATAGAGCTGCTTTAATAGATAAAGTTAAAAATCAAACTCACATTATGATGACACAACCCAGCTTTCAGAAAACTCCTCACTACCTCCTCCATTTCCTTCCAAAAACTCTTCAGTGAGAAACTACAACAAATTTTGCATTCAGACTTTTCTCCTACTCTAGGGATACCTTTAATTCTTAAAACTGGAACACATGCCAGCAAACATTATTAATCACAATAATCATATGAGGTTTAGGAGATATAGGATGAGTAATTGGCCAAATTCCTGGGTTCTTCCTCGTGGGCCTAATGCAGGCAAACAGGAACTATCTGGCCATCTGTTGTGTCCCAAAGATCCATCTCATGGCCAAGCCATGGTTTATTAAAATGCTGACTAAAAAATTCCAAACTCACTGCCATGGAGTTGAATCCAACTCATAGTGACCCCTCTTTGGGTTTCCAAGGTGGAATCACGATGGCAGTAGACAGCCCAACCTTCCTTCCAAGTTCTACTTACACTAGACAAACAGGTGAAAGAGCGAGATGGGTTCAAACCCACCGGCCTTCTGGTTAGCAGTCAAATGCCTTAGGCACTACACCACCAGACTGGTCTAGAATATGTCAGAGTAGCATGGCCAGGACTCAAATTCCTGCCAAGAGTTACAGAGGCATCTAGAGGCTCAGGTAGAAATGACTGCTCCTGCACTCCCCACAGTCCAGTGTCATGTGTTGTGAACCAAAATCCCTTTTCCCAAGCAAGGATAATGGGTGTGATAGTTGGAGCTGTGTGTCAACTTGGCTGGACCACAATTCTTTGTGATTGTCCCCATGATGGGATTTGATGACTGTGTTCTGAGTGGCCAATCTGCTCAGGGGAAGTTTCCCTAGGGGTGTGGCCTGCTTCCAGGATACCCAGGCACATCCTAGGAAGAGAGACATTCTTCTGTGGATTGGGATTCTGTTGTGCTGCCTACAACTGTCTGTGAGTGAACACTCCACCATTCAGACTGGAGATCTTGGATTCATCATTCTGTGGAGTCAACAGCCTGTGTATTGCCTGCTAGCCTTGAGCTTCTTGGCCCCTGCAGTTGCGGAAGCTAAGAAAAGCCTCCAGCCTGACGTTTGCTCCAGGGACTTTGGACTTGCCGGCTTCTATAGGTTTGTGAGCCATTTTCCAAAGATAAATTTCTCTCTCTATTTATATATATATATATAAGCTTTGCTGGGTTTTGTTTCTCTAGAGAACCCAGTATAACACATTTGTTACCAGGAGTGGTTCTAGAGAGACAAAATCATAAGGATGGGTTTCCTAGATTGGTTCTCCAGTTTGATTAATTTTAATGACACTAGTGACTCTACGTCTGCTAGTAAAGAGGGCTCTGCTAATCTGTGGCATGAAGTGGCAAAATTAATACACAAAATAGCACCACCAATAGATCAAGTACTTGTGAGAAGTGATGCTCTGGGTGATTGGATATTTGATACTTTTCTGCAATTTTGTCAGAATGAGGAGTATAAGGAAGCTGGTTGGTTGGTCCTACTTATACTAGACAAACAGGTGAAAGAGCTAGATAAGCTCAAAGCTGCTGAGTCTTGGTATAAGCACCACATAAAAGACCTCAATGCTTCCACTGTGCCTGAAAGAAAGCCTTATATCTTCTGGTAACAGGGCTGATATTGCTGAAAACCAAACCCAGAGTCTTATTGTAAGGGTGGCTGAATTACAATGCCAGCTAAATTGCCAATCCAGAACAGTGTCTGCCATTAAAGTGAGGGCATTGATTGGAAAAAAAAAATGAGATCCTGAAACCTGGAATGGGAACATATGGACAGATAATCTGGAAGATCAGAATATGGAGCCTGTAAATTCTGTTGAATCCCTCCCATCTGAATGGATTACTGTAAAACCATTATCCCCTCCACCTCAGTTTGATAGGATTAACTCAGCTGTTCCTGCTGGGTCACTGTTTGAGGCAGAGGCCAACATTCTTGAATGAAGAGGAAGACATTCTTGAATGCTCTCAGGAACTGCCTCAAGCACCCACTGTTTCTATGAGACCCATAACTAAAGTCAAGTCCAGGCGAGCTCCAAGAGGTGAAATAGAAAGTGTGACTGAGGAGGTGATACGCTATATCCAAAAAGACCTACTTGATTTTGCTAACACGTACAGACAGAAACCTGGAGAATATGTATGGGAATGGCTACTGAGGTTGTGGGATAATGGGGCAAGGAATGTAAGATTGGATCAGTCTGAGTTTATTGATTTAGGCCCACTAAGTATGGATTCTTCATTCAATGTCTAAGCTCCAGAGGTTAGGAAAGGATCTAATAGTTTTTTGGTTGGCTTACTGAGGCATGGATTATGCGGTGGCCTACCTTAAGTCAAGTTGAAGTACCAGACCTGCCTTGGTTTAATGTAGAAGAAGGTATCCAGAGGCTTAGGGAAATTGGCCTGTTAGAATGAATTTATCAGATTAGACCCCTACACCCAGAAATGGAGAGTCCAGAAGACAAGCCTTTCACCAGTACCGTGAGGAATAAATTTGTGAAGGGAGCTACAGCATCCTTAAAGACTGCTGTGATTGCTCTTTTATGTAAACCTGATTTGACAGTGGGAACTGCCCTAATTGAACTAAAACACTTAACTATAATGGGGCTGATTGGACCCCGTGGTAGTAGGGGCCAAGTGGCAGCAGTTAATCGACAAAGGCAAGGTGGGCGTGGTTACCATAATGGACAGCAAAGTCAGAACAGTAATCACAATAGTCTGACTCGTGTGGAATTATGGCATTGGCTACTTGCTCATGGTGTTCCTAGTAGTGAAGTACATGGCAAGCCTACTAAATATTTACTTGATCGGTATAGAGAGAAGAATTCTAGGTCACGTGAACAACAACCTAGATTGACTCACCAGAATACAGAGTCACGACCTCTCAATCAATTCCCAGACTTGAGTCAGTTTACAGACCCACAATCCCTTGAATGAAGGGGAGGCCAGGTCCCTTTGAAGAAGGACCCCACTACATTGCCAAAAATCCATAATGTCAGTCTTTCTCCTAGCCTTCCCCAAAGGGATCTGAGGCCTTTCACGAGAGTGACTGTTCATTGGGGAAAAGGAAATAATCAGACTTTTCAGGGATTACTGGACACTGGCTCTGAATTGACTCTAATTCCAGGAGACCCAAAGCCTCATTGTGGCCCACCAGTCAGAATGGGGGCATATGGAGGTCAAGTTATTGATGGAATCTTAGCTGAGGTGAGTCTCACAGTGGGTCCCCGAACCCATCCCATAGTGATTTCCCCAGTGCCAGAATGCATAATTGGAATAGATATATTCAGCAATTGGTAGAATTCCCACATTAGCTCTCTGACATGTGGAGTAAGGGCTATTATGGTAGGAAAAGCCAAGTGGAAGCCATTAGAACTGCCTGTACCTACAAAAATAGTAAACCAAAAGCAGTACCGCATCCCTGGAGGGGTTGCAGAGATTACTGCCACCATCAAGGACTTGAAGGATGCAGGGGTAGTGATTCCCACCATATCCCCATTTAATTCATCTATTTGGCCTGTGCCAAAAACAGATGGATCTTGGAAAATGACAGTAGATTATTGTAAACATAATTAGGTGGTGACTCTAATTGCAGCTGTTATTCCTGATGTGGTTCCATTGCTTGAGCAAATTAGTACATCCCCGGGTACTTGATATGCAGCTATTGATCTGGCCAATGCCTTTTTCTTGATACCAATTTCAAAAGACCATCAGAAGCAGTTTGCCTTCAGCTGGCAAGGCCAACAGTATACTTTCTCAGTCCTTCCTCAGGGGTATATCAACTCCCTGGCACTATGTCATAATTTAGTCTATAGGGATCTTGATCGCCTTTCCCTTCCACAAGACATCACACTGGTCCATTATATTGATGACATTATGCTGATTGGACCTAGTAAAGAAGAAGTATCGATGACTCTAGACTTATTGGTGAGACATAGGCATGCTAGAGATTGGGAAATTAATCAAATGAAAATTCAGGCACCTTCCACCTCAGTGAAATTTCTAGGAGTCCAATGGCATGGGGCATGTCAAGATATTCGTACTAAAGTGAAGGATAAGTTATTGTATCTGGCTTCCCCAATAACTAAAAAGGAGGCACAACATCTGGTGGGTCTCTGGATTTTGGAGGCAACGTATCCCTCATTTGGGTGTGTTGCTGTGGGCCTATTTATCAAGTGACTCACAAAGCTGCTAGTTTTGAGTGGGGCCCAGAACAACAGAAGGCTCTGCAACAGGTTCAGGCTGCCGTGCAGGCTGCTCTGCCACTTGGGCCATATGATCTGGCTGATCCAACGGTGCTTGAAGTGTCTGTAGTAGATAGAGATGCTGTTTGGAGCCTTTGGCAGGTTCCTATTGGTGAATCACAACACAGACCCTTGGGGTTTTGGAGCAAAGCCCGGCCATCCTCTGCAGATAATTACTTTCCTTTTGAGAAACAGCTTTTGGCTTTTTACTGAGCTTTAGTAGAGACTGAACACCTAACCATTGGCCACCAAGTCACCATGAGGCCTGAGGTGCCCATCATGAACTGTCTGACCCACAGAGTCATAAAGTAGGACGTGCACAGCAGCACTCCATCATTAAATGGAAGTGGTATATCAGAGATTGGGCTCTAGCAGGACCTGAAGGCACAACTAAGTTGCATGAGGAAGTGGCCCAAATGCCTATGGTCTCCACTCCAGTCACATTACCTTCCCTGTCCCACTCTGCACCTGTGACCTCATGGGGAGTTCCTTATGATCAGTTGACTGAGGAAGAGAAAACTCGTGCCTGGTTTACAGATGGTTCTGTGCAATATGCAGGCACCACTCGAAAGTGGACAGCAGTGGCACTGCAGCCCCTTTCTGGGACTTCCTTAAAGGACAGTGGTGAAGGGAAATCCTCCCAATGGGAAGAACTTCGAGCCATGC